CAAAAACAAGCAAGGTTTTCCATACTAACAAGCAAGTTTTTCTCATCCTCCAATGTTAATCTTGGGCAAAAACAAATATATCAAATATGTTTTCTCCTAACTTTTACATCAAAACATCTTTAAACCAAAACCCAAACCTAACTTTTTCCTAGTTTGGTCAAATGTAGATCCAGGTACATTCCTGTCATTACAAAACTAAAAGGTGATTGACATAGGCACACATTTTCAAGAACAACAATCCCATTCAAAACACATTTACAGAAATAGGGTGATCTGCCTCTGATTCTGTCAGCACTGAATCAGAACAGCTCCCGGGGTCTGAAGTGACAGGTATAATTTCCAGACAAGAAACCTGGAAAGTATCAGCTCCCAAAAGATTTTAGGGGAAAATATTTGAGAAAAAATTGTGTTTCTAGAAATGATCACATCTATCCCATGCATGATGACAAAAGGACACCAAAACCTCCAAAAGAATCATCAATATTACAAGGGAGAAGAGAGTATGCAGGCCACAGGGTCCCAGCAGTATTCTGTGCTGTCCCAAAGCCCACTGGTCCTTGCTGAGTGAGACAGTCCCTAGGGGCTTTTGCCTCATCTGGAGACCTGTTGGACAAGCATGCAGATACTGGTCCAAAACGAGGCCACATGCCTTCCAACAGAGGGAGCATGGTTTATCCCAATGCTTCAAGTTGGTCTTCTAGTCCCTAGATCTGTGACAATAAATTTGTTTTATTAAGCCTCCTGATATACAATCATGCAAGGTTGGTTTAGTTTGTAGCACAGTATTGGGTTATTAGATGAAAACTGTTCTCAGGAAAGACTACTTTGCATGAGGTGCTTTAGCTCAATTTTCTTTTTTTAACTTGTTATTGTTGTAGAGTAGTAACACACAAATTTGTTCCAACCATTTTCAGAGTGAACTCAAGACATTTTCAAAATGTCATAAACTTCAAAAAACCAAAAGTAAATACTTTGTACACTGAGCACAAAAATGAATCTCACATGGATGGAGTAATGTGTGGGCAAGCTAGTGTAGCTTCCCATACCTGGAGACATCTAGTGTCTCTCTAGCATTCCTTGTTGAAGCATACACTGTTACAGAGAGTATCATTAGGCCTGCAATGGTACTGTTAGTACTGAAATAGACAGATTTCACTTTATCATTTTACCCAAAGAGTATACTATAATTATTACTTATGTAGCATTCACATTATGTTATGAACTATAGACAATCAAAAGATTATTTAAACTAATGTATAGAAAGTTATTGGGAGCCTTTTTCTTGCTCTTGGTAGTGTTTATTGCCTCAGCATTTAAAGGCTCTCTAAATGGTCTTATTAAATAAAAAAAAACATGGAGCCAGATATAGGGGTGAAAACCTTACAGATCAGGGAAATAGGGAAAACCATAGCTAACCTTACCTCACCAATTCTGCAGTTTCTGAATGCAAACGACTTGCTGTCTACCCATGCCTATATGCTTTGCTATTCTGCCATCTGATTTGCTTTCTCTGTCGAGCTACATCACTTCCTCTTCCTGCCCAGTTCTGTCACTTCTTATCTGTCTGTACAGACCTCCATACCTCCATGGCTAACTAGTGTTGGAATTTAAGGCATGTGCCACCACACCTGGCCTCTATGTCTACCTAGTGGCTGTTCTGTTGTCTGACTCCAGGTAAGTTTATTTGGGTGCACAATATATTGGGGACACAATGTCACCACAGTTGTTGGGCAAGTTTAATACCTTCACTTCTTGCTAATCATGGATGTATGACACTAATTTTATTAGGTTAGAACTTTAATGTATCTTTTGGGAATCCATTACAACTTATTTCAGGCAAAGACAAATCCTATAAATTAATAATTATTGTTTGTTGTTTATCTTTGCCTCTGCTTTTATGGTCACAGACTAAAATTAACTTTGAAGTTAAAGAAGCTTAATCATTGATTGGTTGAAAATAAAAAGGGATTTGCATAGTGGCAGTATAAGTTTGCACTCCCACCAGTAAGGGTAAAATGTTCCCATTGTTCCACATCCTCACCAGCATGAGCTCTCACTTGTGTTATTGATCTTAGCCATTCTGACAGGTATAAGATGGAATCTCAAAGTAGTTTTTATTTGCATTTTCCTGATGACTAAGATGTTGAGCATTTCTTTTAGTGTTTCTCAGCCATTTGAGATTCCTTTATTGAGAATTCTCTGTTTAGAATTATACCACATATTTTAATTGGATTACGTGGTGTTTTATTGTCTAATTTCTTGAATTCTTGATATATTTTGGTGGTTCCTCAGAAAATTGGGAATTGATCTACCTCAAGACCCAGCAAACCCACTCTTGGGCACATACCCAAAAGATGCTGTATCCTACCAAACTGATACTCAACTATGTTCATTGTGGTTTTATTCAAAATAGTCAGAAACTGGAAACAAGCTAGATGTCCAACTGAAGAATGAATATGGAAAATGTGGTACATTTACACAATTGAATATTACTCAGCTATTAAAAAACATGGTATCATGAAATTTGCAGACAAATGAATAGAACTAGAAAAAAATCCCAAATGAGGTACCCCAGATCCAGAAAGACAAATATGATATGTATTCACTTAACAATGGATATTAGCTATTAAGCAAATGATAATCAAACTACAACCCACAGACCCAGAAAGCTTAGGTAAAGAGAAGGGTTTTAGGTGGGCACAAATGGACCTTCCTGGGAAGGGAAATAGAATATAAATTGTGGGTAGATTGGGGTGGGTGGGGATAGGAGCAGGCAGAATCTAGTGTTGGGGGAAGAGATGAGGGAGAGACTGTAGGGAAGACAGCTGAAATTGGGGAGGAAGAGTTGGGGAAGTGGTATGGAAACCTAGTGCAGTGGAAACTCCCTAGACTCTATGAGGGTGACTATAGCACAGATCCTAATTGGTCTTAAAAATAAAAACCTGGAGCCAGATTTAGGGTAAATGCTGAAAGATCAGAGAGACAAAGGAGCAAGCCACAGCCACCTCTGATCTTGCCAGCTCCTCAGCCTGAAAGGTGGTGGCCCAAGCTCCTTTCTCAGCCCACCTTATATTCCTCTCTCTGCCCAGCCATATCACTCCCTGTTTCCTCTTCCCTAGTACTGTGATTAAAGGTGTGTGCCTGCCAAGTACTGGGATCAAAGGCATGAGATCCTAAGTGCTGGGATGAAAAGTGTGTGCCACCACTGTCTGGCTTCTATGGTTAACTAGTGGCTAGCTCTACACTCTGATGTCCAGGCAAGCTTTATTTGTTAGAGCACAATCAAAATATCACCACAAGTGACCCTATTGAAGGACTCCTAGTAATTGAGAATATGTAGTCTGAACTGGTCATTTTTTTTAAATCCAGGCAAGGCTTCCAGTGGTAGGAATGGGTTGCATTCAGTTGTGTTGTTGGCTGCTGAGGTCCCTTGGAGACCTCTAAACAACCCAGGTTGATACTAGGACAGAAGGTTGTTTCCTCAAAAGTGATAGTGGGGGTACCATAGCTGAAGATACTCATTCAACTCATTGAATGTGGTGAGGTTGAGCTGGTACTTGCATGGAGCTTTTGCCCCCATTTTCTAGTCTCTTTGGCATGTTAAGGTACTCTACAGGCTACCAAAAGAGAAACCTGGACATAAGTCAAGCCACAAAAACCTCTACCTACAATCTATTCTTCAGGGGACATCTTACATCTTCTAAGATGTACAAGGGAAATGGTAGCACAGAATCTGTAGGAGTGGCCAACCCATGTTTAGTTTAACTTAAGGCCACTCCATGAGAGGAAACCCATGCTTTATACTGCCTAGATGTCTAGGAACTAGAAGCTGGATGGCCCAGGGACCTAGGGTAGAACCAAACACAACTGAAAAAGAGGAATCAATAATATGATTCCTAATGATATTCATTTCCATGTCCAGGTCTCATCAAAGAGTCTTCCTCTGAAAGTAGGTGGGAGTGGGTGGGTATTTTTGTGGGACTCTTAAAAGTGGGATCAAGTGAATCTCTAATCTTTTGTCTGCTCTTTGGACTCTTCCTCTTTATTGGGTTGCCTTGTTCAGCCTTGATATGAGAATTGTTGCCTTGTCTTCTTGTATCTTGTTTTGTCTTGTTTGGCTGTAGTGTCTTGGAGGTCTGCTCTTTTCTGTAAAGGAAATGGAGAGAGAATGGACCTGGGGGAGAGAGAGAGAGAGATGAGTATTCTGGAAGGAGTGGAGAGAGGGGAAACTGTGGTCAGGATGTACTGTATGAGACAAGGATCTATTTTCAATAAAAATTTTTAAATAAATTAATGAGGAAATCACTTTCTAAATGATGGTTAAAATAACAGAAAACAGGGTTCCTCTAAATAGAAATCATGGAAAAGATGTATCATTATAGAGAATCAAAATTTATATTAGGTAATTACAAGGTTTCAGATCTTCAAAGTGAGCCCCAGACCCTAGGCATTGTAGGATCTAATATTTGGAGAATAATTAGAATGTGGAAATTATACCTGAGTCTCAATTCTTGGAGATAGATATGTTTAAAGGGATTAGAATTATACTACAGTTTTGTCTTACTGCCTTTGGAATTGGCTGAAATTTGGCTACGTGATCTCAAGAGAGTTAGAATTGGTGGGAGCCAAGACTTTCCCTGAGCCCCAGATACATGGAGGTATGGAGAAGGAACTTAGTTCCTTGTTAATAACCAAGGCATGCTTGTCATGGCCAGTAATGGCCTCGGGCCAGGGCCTTGGGGGAGCTTCAGTTTGGGATCTTAAGATCTAGGACACATATCCCCCAATGGCTATGGTTATCAGTCCCAAGGCCACTGTGTAATCAGTCTATGACACATTTGAGATACTCTGTGTTTCCTTTGTGCTACATTTATTGATTAGTTTTCTGTTGACTTCAACTCATTATCATTATACAGTGGATTTCTGCTAACTCTGTTTCATTTTTTCTTCTGCAAGCTGTATATAAAATGCCATGTTGCTTAATAAGATTGCTTGGCATAAGACATAGCTTGTGCAAGAGTCCCCAACCCCAATTTTTCTGTCTTAATATTTTCTGATCCCTTCGTCCTTCTTCTCAGATACTTGTCATTGATGGTATTGGTCCAGGTCAGGGTGTGGGAGTTGTGTTGTAGATATATCCATTGGGACTTTGGCCCACATCTCTGTACTTTGATTGGTTTTGGCTTTCTGTAATGATCTTCATCAGTTGCAAAGTTGCCTTGATGAAGGTGAGGACTACGCTTCTCTGTGAGTATAAGAACAAATGTTTAGAGAATAGCTAGGAATTGAACTTGTTTAGTAGAGTGGTTGTTTTAAGTTCTCCTCCAAGATCCATAGCTTCACTAGCCCTGGGTAGTGTCCAATACCAGGCATGTCTCTATTTCACTCTCTTAGAGTTATCATACAATTCTGGTGGTAGTTGTGATTCACAGGTGTCATGATTGTTAGTTGATTTTTCTCCTTTGTAATTTTGTATAGCAACTTCTGATACCATGAAAGCTAGTCCTGGGGGGAAGGCATTCAAGTCAATTCACACTCAGGGGGCTGTGGGCTTTGTGTTTGAAATGTATGGTAAGTTCAGGAACAGGGATTTACCTTCCACTTCCCAAGGACAATCAAGGCAACAGCCACAGTTTGTAAGGTTTGGGAGTTTGTTGCCCAACCCTGACCAACAACTCAAGAGAGGGCTTCTCATGTCTAGTTTTGTTAGGTGGCTTTGGTTCTTGTAGGGAGCATCATCAGCCCAGATGTGACAATTTCATTTAACTATATATGTATATTTGTACATAGGCTTAGATGTATATTTACAAAGATAAATAGTTATTAGGATGGTTCCTCATCTCTTTTTCAAATCCTTACTGTTATTTTACCCTCCTTTCTCCTTCTGTATTTCTCAGCACTGGAAATTCTTAACAACCATTTACTAGGAGTAAGGAGTGAAGTGATATTTTATAGTACTTTGTGCATTTTTTGATATTAAGACTGTAATGAGATTGACTGATATCCTAATATCACTAGACAAAGTTATAAAAGAAAAAGCTAGTTGATTAAAGTCAAGGATCAAGTATAATGACCAAGAGTTTCTCTTTGTACCCAAGGTCTAAATAAAATCCTTTAGTTATAGGACGGACATTGCTAATGTTCAAACATACTGTCTACTTTCTGCTCAAATTTTTTCCTCGCTCATGTCTCGCCATTAAGTTGAAGAATTAGAAAAAAATAAGTATTTGCTTCAAATGAAGAAAGGAACTTTGAAACAAATATGGTATTTTGAAACAACTAGCTGCCAACTAAAGGAAAATATTTTCTGAGCATTTTATCTGACTTTGGAGGGTATAAATATTCTAATATTGGCCACTCCAGGGTTCTAGTGCTCAGGTGGGACTGTGAGTCGCAAGGGGATGCCCCAGACAACCACAGAATCATGAAAGGACAGAGTCACTCATAGGACTGTTGGCATTGTCCTTCCCCTCACACCCTCAATTCACCATCAAGGTTCAATAGCACTTACAGCTGAAAGACCTATAAGGATGTGATTTATCAAGGAATTTCTAGGAAAAACCTAAAAGCAACAGAGGAAACCAAGACAGGGAAACGAGAGAAACTTGAACCATCTTGTGTTTCTTTGATAGAAAAATAAAATTAAAAAAATATAGCCTAATCAGCATGAGCTAATATCTAGCAATCAGACAATATAAAATACAGATCAGAATGTAGATCAACTGGAACTTTTATTCATAACTGACTGTAATCTGTGATGGTGCAAATCTATTTTCAACATGGTTTGTCAATTTCTCATACATGTGAACTATGTAATAATATAGTTCAAATTTAATACACAGAGATGGTAACACAAATCTAACAAAAACTGTTTCCATAAAATCTTGAGCATGGGTGTTTATAGATGGTTTCTTTTCCAAAAAAAATGGACAGTATGCTATACCCACAGAATATTGTTTAGTAATAAAAAGGAGTCATCCAGCCACCAAAAAACAAGAAGCAGTTTGAATTAGTTGAAGAAGCCTATATTGGAAAGTTACCCACTCTTTGACTCCAGCTAAAGAACATTTTGAATCAAGTAAATCTACAGGGAGTGTAAGGACCACTGGTTGCTAGGCACTTAGGAAAGGCGCAGCAGACTTTGTGGATTGAGGGAAAGGAAGTTTTGAAATGCTGAAAGTGTTATGGGAGCTTCTATAATAGTGGATTATGACATTATTCAATCATTATTGTCTATGGAATTTAAAGTATATTGCAAATTTTAGTTAAAAGTAATACACAATATTTGCTCTTTTGTACTACACTCTCACAATATGCCAAAGGCAAGGAGGAAACCATGTAAGAGCTATGTGAACCCTTGCCCCTTTATCTGCTCAGTATGTTGAATTAGTATGCAAAATATTCTCATACCCCTAATAATAATATCATTTGTAAAGCAAATTCTAAGATCCTTAAATGAGAAATTTCTATGACAGAAAAAAAAAAAGGAAAAGCTCACTAGTCACAAATAAGAAGAAATGATGGTCTTGGGAACATTTTCTGCACTGATTCAAGCCTGCCTTACAGTTTCATTCAGTATTTTGGAATATAATATGAGAAAGACATCTGAAAAATTCTAGGGATAAAGACAAAAATTAAAAATAATAGTATTTTTTCTAAGATATTTTTCTTGTTTAAAGGTACACAGGAGAAAAGTTCAGAATTGATTCAAACATTGTGTACTCTTCTTGTATCCATCATTCATTGATAAGCATGAAGTTTTAAGGCTACTTTTACTATTGGTTTACTGATTTAATTTCAGGAGGTTAAGTTTTTCAGAAACTACTGTACTTACTGCATAGATAATAAATAATAAGATTATTTACTTATAGACTGTTTAGGATTGCTCCCATCAACTTTTATAAAAGAAATCAGGAACTTTCATTCAAGAATTACTTACCCAATGCTTATTCTCCTGGATCCAGGGCAGTATCTAATTAAAGAGTATGACCCTGCTTTTGAGTTAGGTGTGGTTTAATAATGAAGCTTGATGATAACATAGTTGAGCGGATCCTAGATAAAAGTAAATGTACGACTTGAAGTCATTTGAGAGATACCTAAGTTTTAATGTCTCTCAAAAGAGGACAACTTAATTTGAAAACACATTTACCTTGCAGTATTGATGGAGCTGAAGTGGTAGGAACAATTTACAATCTCCTTCCCTAGACCTAAAGCAGATACACACAAAGATGAAGCACTATTGGAGCCCACAGCCCTGGGGACATGTTTTTCCTGCTTAATTACAGCAATGACAGTGACTTTTGTCTGGAACCTAAGTGCTATACACCTTGGATTTGGAAGAGAGTGGACTAGGGTTTCCCCAAAAGTTACCCAAAAGGGAGTGTTGTTTATTAAATTTATTTTTTTCTAGAATTGTATATATTCTTCTATATTATAGGCTGTTTTAGAATTACAGGCAACACTTGTTTTCTGAGATTTTAATGTAGGTACAACATTCCTCCATCCCTTTCCTCCCTAGAAACACTCCTGTATATACCTACCCCTTTCAAATTCATGGCCTCTAATTGCTATTACATAGATACATGTATATCTATAAACACACACACACTCACACACACACACACGTTTATTATATATATATATTCCCAACATAATCTTTCAGTATGTATAATGTTGTTTTTATGTATGTTTTCAGTGCTGTCCATTACGCATTGGTCCACCAATTGGCATGCTCTTCCCTATGGGGCACTGCCTCTTCTGCTTCCAGAATCTTAAGTTGTATAGGCAACAGTTTCAAAAAGAATGTACTTCCCCATTGTCTTGTTAGGACATGGTTAAGTTCTACAATGCTTTCTATTGCTGGTCTCTTGATCCACAGTCATGACTATTTATGTTCCTCCTTGTTAGCTTTTTCTTATTACTTATTTAAGCTGTTGTTTACAATAACCGCTTTACCTTTATTGTTTATTCAGCAGCAAGTAAAAGATTTTCTCACTTCACACTTTCTCCTGTTTTCCTCCAGGCCTCCTCTCATCTCCTTGTTCACTTCTTCTCACTCCTGTATAAATGGGCAATTTAATGAAAGATATAATTAGGATAATTTAAGATTTACATATGGGGGCAGCAGTAGAGGCCATCTGAGTGAATGAACCTTACCAGATGATTAAATACCACTGTAGGTATTTCTCTCAATCCATTGCATTGTAGCCCAGCCCTACAATTTAGTCTCTGCCTGCTTCTCTGGCTGTTAGAACAAAAGCTCACAAGACACCTTCTAAGTGTACAAACAGTTCTCATTTTTTTTTCAGCTTAAAACTTGTGCTGCCATTTGAAGAGAACTAAACCAGATCATTTCATTTCTTTCACGGGATCATCTGGACAGGTTGTACTTTTAATTTTTGATATTAATAGATTTTAAATATTGAAAATACAAAATTTGTGTCATTTACTAAGTTGTTAAAAATACAGGGGCAATAAAATCTATATTGATACTATGCCTAATTTATAACATGAATAATTTAAAGCCTCTTAAAATTGTTTGTCACAAAAATATTTTTTAGATATGCTTTGATGTTTAAAGATTTTCAAATGAAATTTAAGTATCATATATACCTGGAAAGTACTGACTGCAATTGCCATAAGGATCTTGAAAATATCTTCTTAATTAAACAACTTAGACAATACAGCAAAAGTGTAGGTTTATTGATAAATCGTTCATGTATATTTAATTTGCAGGCTGCTGTTATATTTTGATAGAATTTTTGATTGTGAAAGCTATCCAATCAAAAATATAGTCTAATAACTAGAGTAATAAACCTTTCTCAGAATCTTCTTTGTGTCACAGTGCTGTGGCAGAAATATATACAAAAAGACAGCTTCTACTTTTGGCCACTTAATTCAAATCCAGATGAAAACTGAGAACTTAGCCAAAATCTTCAACACTCTTCATAGTAAGAAGGGATGGCAATCACACAGAGAAGGGCAGCTGGTTGGGAGGTATGAGAAGAAATGCTATCATTTTAGACAGTTCATGCTGCTGTTTCTCTACAACTAGTGCCTATTCCCCTTAGGAAATAATGTTGACAATTTCTGACTGAAATACACATGTTGAGGGAAAACACACATGTAGTGAGTGAGTGAATCTCTGTGTTATAGTTTTAGTCAATGTATGAAAACAAGGAGGGTAGGGAAGAGGCCTTTTAATGGCAATGTTTTATCTAGGAGACCTAGTTAATTACAAAGTGACAGCTTCATGTCAGGCTCCCACTTAGTGGTGGGTTAGCCACTTCCAACTAAAGGCAAACCAGTTCTTAAAAATGTGGCTCAAGCCACAAAATCCAATTCACCCAAATAAGCAAATGAATAAGGTAAGTGTTGACTATTATAGTTCTTTTTAAAAATGGACATTTCTTTCTTGTAAATACCTATTTTCACTAAGCCAGGAGACAATTCTGAAAATAACCTGATGGCTAATTTCTGTTTGGGGAATAGAAATAATATTTTCAAATTGTTAAGTCTAGGTGACATTTCAAAGTTGCAATTGCAGGGACTGGGATTTTTTTCCCCTTTGGGAAGAATAGACATGACTGATAATATTTTGTGGATTCATAACACATAGAAACTGTTCTCTGAATAACAACAAACCAATGACAAGGGTATCACTTGATGTCTTCCAGTCTGCCATCTAGAGATGTATTGAAATGAATAGCATCTTGGGTGGGTTGTCTTAGAGACATTCAGTGAATAAATGCCAGAAAACACAACAGTGGTTATTAAAGTGAGTAAACAAAGTATTAATTATTAATTTTTCTAGGATCTTTGAATTTATGAAGTGTGTCCTTGGAAATTGTTAACAGCACATGCTTTCCATGGATGAACAATTGTGTTACCATGACATTTACCTTGACCCACTGAGGCATCTCCTAGTACATAGTTTAAAATTTTGACCAGGGAGTGAATGAGAACAATTCTGCTGAGGCTTGTCACTTTGGAGCAAATCATTCATTAAGAAGGTCAATTATTTTTGAGAATGAGAAAGTAAAATCAAGGTCAATGACTCCACAGGGCTTTTCTATAACCTCAGCATTCCCTATTTCAGGCATAAGTTTTGCAGTATCTTAATTTTACTTCCCTTTAAATACATTTATCAAACATTTGAAAGCCTTTCATTCAATGACATATATATATATATATGTATATATATATATACATATATATATATATATGTATATAGTTAGTTAGTTAGTTAGTTAGTAATAGATTTGGGTTAGATACCAGGCAGTACCTTTATAAAGAATGCAGTCCATCTTTATTATTTAATGCAGACACAATGAACTCTCTGCTGAATATGGTTCATTTTAAGACTTCTTAGTCTTTCCATATGCATCATCAATTTTAACAAATTTGAAAATTATTTTTCCATTCATCATATAATCTTATGTTTATATAAATATAGGTATATCCCCTACACTATTATATAGCATTTAAATTATATTCTACACTGTCTTGCATAGTTTTACTGTTTATATTAAAGTTAAATGACTTATGTTTCTAAAAGGAGTAAAAAGTACTTAAACACTAAGAATATATCCATATCCATATCCATATTCTTTTTGCATTTTTAATTGAATGCAGATTCTTTTCTCATACAATATTATCCTGACTATAGTTTCCCCTCCCTGCACTAATATTAAGCAATGCCTCACCCATGTTGCAGGTAAGGAGCAGATATTTAACTGGCTCTTATATACATAGTTATTTTTAATGTGAAAGCATTGCAAAGTATATAAAAACTGTAAAACATCTCTTTTTTCCTCCAGCAGCCACCTTGAGATGGGGACTTCGAGACCTGAGGATTATGAAATCTTTGTTGAGTTCCATGGAGTTCTAATGGATAAACGGTTCACCAAATATTGGGATGATGTTGAAACATTCTTGGCAAGGCCAGATGATATTGTCATTGCTACTTATCCTAAATCTGGTAAGTGTCCTTGCTATGAAAGGATGTTGTTTTGACATATAAAAATTATAAATAAACATACTTTGAATCATCAGTATTAAAATGTTTACCCGACTCAAACTCATTTTTCATATTAAGGACAGTTGTATTAATTTTGGTTTCAAAATAGTAATAAATTGCACATTATCAACTCTATTCCACAATCTCAAAAATTTCCAAGGACACAATTAGTAACACCATTAAGTCACTGATAAGTGGAGATTATCATGCAGTTATCTTATTTAATACAGATAAGTAATTTTGAGACATGCATTGCATAATGAATATTTAAAACTACTGCATTTATATTATAGCTGTGTATGTGGATTATAAATGCTTTCAAAGGTAATCAAAAACTCTTTTTCAGGCAACCACCTCCTTTTCATTGTATATACTCAAAAACTTTAATTTCATTCCATATATTCACAGATGCAATTCCTTTTTTCTGAGGTTATCTCTACTGCTATAAGCAGTTCTAGAGTCTTAAAATTGTATACTTTAAAAGCCAGCAAAGCCCAATCTTGTATTCTTTGTTTGCTTATTAACATTTGACACTTAAAAATGAATCAGTCATCTATTTATGACCATATGATCTTATAATTCCAATATTTAGGAAACACGAGAATCATGACTTTGAGACGAGCCATAGCTACACTGAGGGACTCTGTCTCAATGAAACAGAAACACACACACACACACACACACACACACACACACACACACACACACACACACAATTATATATTTCAAGAGTACAAACTATGAGAGAGACCCACTATGTCTTGGGCAACTCTTCCCTGAAACTGTTCTGTGGTAGTATTCTAATTGTACTGAATGTGATGTGATTTTGATTGTATGTTAATAAATAAAGTTGCC